AAATTATAATATTTGGCTGGACATAAAATGGGATAGAGCTCACCAAAGTTTGCAAATGAAAATGACCTCAACCTACTTTAGAGGTCACAGAGGTCAACAACATTTTAATGGATTTGAGAACTAAAAGGAATGGATTTATAAGATTTGGCTGGTAGCTTTTTGGAATAGAGCTAACCAATTTGAGAAGGAAAATGACATTGACCTACTTACAAGATCACAGGGGAAAATATGTCAAGCAACTTCTGAAGAAGAATCAAAAAGCATAGAATCTTATAATAATATTTTGCTGGTAGTTTCAACAGGTGGAGCCAACAAAGTTTGCGAGGGAAATATTTTTAGTGCAATATAATATTTATTGAGAATATTTTGCTATGACTGCTTAAATATTCAGGTGAGCGATACAGGCCCCCTTGGGCCTCTTGTATTTAAAATGTTGTACAAATTTTGCATGTTTTCCTTATTAAAAGTGTCACTACGCTTACTTCATGTATATTTTATGACATATTTAGTATCAAAATAGCTAATTTTATGCACTGTACACTATCATAATTCCCCCGGTCACTCAACCTGGTGTTATACAAGGAGGTCCACTACTGTTATCAGTAATAATTATGAATAATCATTCATGCAGTTATTGATAATTTTTATGTATGTACATATGGCAAAAGAATATTGTTGAATTTGTGAGTTTGTTTTGGTGTGTTTTACAATAAATAATCTATTTACACAATAGAAATAAATTCATATTATATCTGTAGTTTGATCCTTTCTTATTGTTGCCATTCATTTTCGTGATACAACAGAATGCCTGACACTCTTAGTCTTAGCCACTGCGCGACAGTGTGGGCTTCCTTATTTTAACCTCAATTCCCTTAAAATGATTGTAAAACTCACAGATTGGTCTCCAAGAATTCTGGCATACCAAAATGGGATTTCACCATTGACTCCTATATAAATTTTAAAGTAACTCAAAATCAAAGCTTCATATTAAATGTTAAACTGTTTTATTGCCAAAAACTTCACAAAGACTAATTTCTTTCTTGGTTTAACAGTCCATCCATGAGGTCAGGAGATGTTACTCCTGTAGACTTTTCATCAGATGGCAGTCCTGTGTCCACCCCAGGTAATTCTCCTTATGGAAGTGTCAACGACCTGTCCAAGATTGATGACAGTCAGAATGGGAACAAGAAGGCTGTTACAGGTCAAAGTGACAATCCTAGTGGTCCTCTTCTTCAGCTTCCTGGTCAAAGTGATTCATACAAACACTATGGAAGTAACAGGAAAAACAACGAAGACAAGGACAAAGACTTGCATGATGTTAAAATCTCTGAAACAAGTACCGATATAGATCGTGTCACCTTACAGAAAGGTATGATGTCATACATTTATAGTAGAAATTCACCCTTGTGAAACATTTAATAGAAGGAAAAATTTGCATTTTTTGGGCAATGAATAGTTCATTATTCCAAAATGAAAATAAATTTCAAAACAATAAAGGAGCTGTAGAATTTGCACTGAGCCTAGACAAAATTCACATGCTGCATTTTGTCTTCACTTTCCTTCAGATAATGTTTGCAGTAAAGGACTATGTATGGTTTGGGCGTGTTTTGGCCCCCAAATGCGTTAAAATTCAAATATCTTAAATTTTTTACACAACTTCTTCTCAATAACCAAAATGCCCAGGGTGATGATATTTGGCCAGTAGCATGCTGAGATAAAGGGCTACAAAGTTTGTTCAAATGAATGACCTTCACCCATATTCAAGGTCACATGCTGGGATGAAGGGCTACCAAGTTTGTCCAAAAAAATGACCTTGACCTTTATTCAACGTCACAGGGGTCAAATAAACTTTTCCTTTAAACGAACAAATATGAATATGAATATGAATAACGAACAAGGATAGAGCCATGATATTTGACTGAAAGCTTTGTTGGTACGAGCCCGACAAAGTTTGAGAATGAAAATGACCTTGACCTTAAAAGAAGAAGTTTTTTTTTTTTTTTTTTACATATTTGACCCTTATGACCTTGAATATGGGTGAAGGTCATTTATTTGAACAGACTTGGTAGCCTTTCATATCAGCCTACTACTGACCAAATATCACCAAACTGGTCCTTTTGGTTATTCAGAAGAAGTTGTTTAAATGTTTTAAACACATTTGACCCCAATGACTTTAAATATAACTGAAGGTCATTCATTTGAACAAAATTGATAGCCCTTCATTCAAGCATGTTCCTGGCTAAATATCATCATCCTTGGCCTTCTGGTAATTGAGAAGAAGTTGTTGAAAGATTTTAACATATTTGACCCCTGTGACCTTGAAAATGGGCAATGGTCATTCATTTGAACAAACTTGGTAGCCCTTCATCTCGGCATGCTACTGGTCAAATATCATCACCCAAGGCATTTAGGTTATTCAGAAGAAGTTGTTTAAATTAAATATTGACGACGGGCGGAAGGACGACGGATGCCACACCACTGATTAGGATCTTCCTTCAGTAATTCATAAGCTGTGAAGTACCAAATAAAAATATATTCCAACAAAGACCTGTAATGTATAAAGTTATGATATTGAGCATAGCTAAATAAATTTTAACTATTCCATCTTTTGAAAGTCATGGATGTGAGGTAAATCCATGTGATGGATTTAGGCCTATTGGGCCTCTTGTTTGAAGTGTACATATTATACTGCTGTACTGAAAGTTTTTAGCTCACCTGTCCGAAGGGCAAGTGAGCTTGTGTCACGGTGCGGCGTCCGGCGTCCGGCCCTCTGTCCGTCTGTCTGTCTGTCCATCGTTTGTCAACTTTTCCTTTAAATGAACAAATATGAATATGAATAACGAACAAGCATAGAGCCATGAACTGAAAGCTTCATTGGTAGGAGCCCGACAAAGTTTGCGAACGAAAATGACTTTGACCTACTTTCAAGGTCATAGGTGTCAAATATGTCAAACACCTCAAACGACTTCTCCTGAAGAACTGAAAGGTATAAATCTTCATATTTGGATGATGGCTTCCTGGGATGGAGCCCAACAAAGTTTGGGAATGAAAATGACCTTGACCTTCTTTCAAGGTCACAGCAGTTAAATATGTCAAAGGCTTCAACCGACTTCTTCTGAAGAACTAAAAATTATAGAACCTTCATATTTGGCTATTGGCTTTCTGAGATAGAGCCCGACAAAGTTTGAGAATTAAAATGACCTTTACCTACTTTCAAGGTAAAAGCAGTCATATATGCCTAACTTTTTAAATGACTTCTTCTGAAGAGCTTAAAGGTATAAAACCTTCATATTTGGCTGTTGGCTTCCTGGGATGGAGCCGACAAAGTTTGAGAATGAAAATGACTATGACCTACTTTCAAGGTCACAGCGGTCAAATATGTCAAACGCTTCAAACGACTTCTTCTGAAGAACTAAAAGGTATAGAATCTTCATATTTGGCTGATGGCTTACTGTGATGTGGCCCGACAAAGTATGAGAATGAAAATGACCTTGACCTACTTTCAAGGTAACAGGGGTCAAATGTGTCAAACTCTTCAAACGACTTCTCCTGAAGAACTGAAATGTATATAATCTTCATATTTAGCTGGTGGCTTCCTGGGATAGAGCCCAACAAAGTTTGAGAATTAAAATGACCTTGACTTACTTTCAAGGTCACAGCGGTCAAATATGTCAAACTATTTGAACGACCTCTTCTGAAGAACTAAAAGGTATAGAACCTTCATATTTGGCTGTTGGCTTCCTGAGATGGAGCCCGACAGAGTTTGAGAATGAAAATGACCTTGACTTACTTTCAAGGTCACAGCGGTCAAATATGTGAAACGCTTCAAACAACTTCTTCTGAAGAACTAAAAGGTATAGAATCTTCATATTTGGCTGGAAGCTTCCTGGGATAGAGCCCTACAAAGTCTAAGAATGAAAATGACCTGTTACATGTGTTAAATATGTCAAAAACATCAAACAACTTCTTCTGAATAATCGAAAGGCACAAAATTATAATGTTTGGCTGGTGACTTCCTGGGATAGATAGAGCTCACCAAAGTGTGTAAATGAAAATGACCTCAGCCTACTTCAAAGGTCACAGAGGTCAACAACATTTTAAAGGATTTGTTCTGAAGAACAAGCATTTTGGAATAGAGCTGACAAAGTTTGAGGAGGAAAAAGACATTGACCTTCTTACAAGGTCATAGGAAAAAATATGTCAAACAACTTCTGAAGTAGACCCAAAAAGCATAGGCTGGTAGTTTAACAGATGGAGCCGATAAAGTTTGCGAGGGAAATATTTGAAGTTCAATATAATATTTAATGAGAATATTTTGCTATGACTTTAATATTCAGTTGAGCGATACAGGCCCTCTGGCCCTCTTGTTATGATGTAAATGGTCTGTTCACAATAAAGTTATATATAGGTGAGCAGTTACGCTCAAGGGCCTATGATTTAAAGAAATAAATTCATATATTCTATACCTGTAACATTTCACTGCAGTTTCTTTTTCACATTTTTCGTCCTCCATAATGAGGGCTAATTTATCATTACAGCAAACATTTGTATACAACATGATAAACATAGTAACTAAATGTGAAAAGCAAATTTAACATTGGGCAAAACTGGATTTTATCGTTGAAGGGCAAAAATTTGACTGGGCGAAAATATACTGGTATAGAATAAATGAGATGATAACTGTTGCTTTTCTTTACAGAGTATGGTATAGGACTTGGTGTGTCACTCCTTCGGAGGGACACTAACGGATTCAGTCACATTTACATCCAGGACATTGCTCAGGGATCAGTGGCAGATAAGGATGGGCAGCTTAGGTCAGTTTAACATTAAAACATTGAATGTTGTTGTGGTGATGTGCAAGAGGTGATGGATTGAAAATTTTCCAAATTTTGTGTTGACTAAATCAATGAACAAAATATGCGTAATCAAACAATTCCAATGCAAAAATAAATCCAAAACAAAGAGGAATACAGACCACATTCTGAGTGAATGATTATGAAAACTAATACCTCACAGGAAATTATTTTCCAAAGTGATAAGATATGGCTGTGATGTTTGTTAGTAATAGCTGTTCAAGCAATTTAGGTAGATAAATATCCAGTCATTTCACAAGTATAAAGTAAATTCTCAAGGAAATAACTCTATCGCAAATCACAGGTACCGTTAACATGTAAAGTAGCATATAACCTTAAATATATCTATAGTTCTAAAGTAGACGAATCATTGTTTGGTTTACTTGTTCTCAGGAAAGGAGATATGATTGTGAAGGCAGGGGGGCGGTCACTACAGGACATCACCTTGCTGGATGCATACCAGGTGTTTCGTACCCTCCTAGCTGGACCAGTCACACTGTTGATTAGACGTGGCATCAAATTCAAGGTGCACGTCCTCTAATTTTTAGCTCACTTGGTCCGAAGGACCATAGTGAGCTTATGCCGTGGTGCAGCGTCCGTCTTCAACTTTTTCTTTAAAACGCATCTCCTACTGAACGCCAGTGAAGATTTCAACCAAATTTAGTCCGAAGCATCAGTAGGGAAGGGCAATCATTTCTTAAATAAATGAGGTTGGTTCGACCACTGAGGACAGGGGGGTGGGGCCCTGAAGGGGAACTTAGCTAAACTTTCTTTAAAATGCATCTCCTCCTAAACGCCAAAGAGGATTTCAACCAAATTCAGTCTGAAGCATCAGTAGGGAAGGGTAATCATTTCTTAAATAAATGAGGTTGGTTCGACCACTGAGGACGGGGGGGGTGGCGCCCTGAAGGGGAACTTAGCTAAACTTTCTTTAAAATGCATCTCCTCCTAAACGCCAAAGAGGATTTCAACCAAATTCAGTCTGAAGCATCAGTAGGGAAGGACAATCATTTCTTAAATAAATGAGGTTGGTTCGACCACTGAGGACAGGGGGGTGGCGCCCTGAAGGGGAACTTAGCTAAACTTTCTTTAAAATGCATCTCCTCCTAAACGCCAGAGAGAATTTCAACCAAATTCAGTCTGAAGCATCACTAGGGGATGGCAATCATTTCCTAAATAAATGAGACTGGTTCAACTCCTGGGACTAGGTAGACCGGGCCCTAAAGAGGAAAATTATCTAATATTTTGCTATAAGACGTTAATTTCCCCTAACTGCCTGAGTGGATTATACAAAATTTGGTCAAAAACATTATTGAGGAAGAACAAACATTTCTTAATTTAATGAGGTTGGTTTGACCCCTGCGGTCCTAAGAAATGGTACAGCTAGATTATTATATTCTATGGTGTAGTTTTCATAAATTGTTAAAAATTGGTTTCTAGGTTTATAAAAGCTTATAGTTGAATGAAAATTAAAGTATTGTCTAATTACACCCTGTAATATGACGTATTACTTATTTCAAAATCTGTTAACATGGCAACTCAATTGAGGCCTCTGATTAGTTGTAAGTCAGATATTGTGGTACCAGCTGGGTTAGAACATAGATCTTGTCTGGTTATGAGGAAATTTCATATTAAGATGTACTAATGCATTCAGTTGTAATAACTTAAATATAAAACCACCCAGGCACCCACACAGGCACCCACCCAGACACCCATCCAGACACACACCCAGATACCCACCCAGGCATTCATCCAGGCATCCATCCAGGCACCCATCCAGGCTATGAACCCACCACCCATCCAGGCACCCTTCAAGGCACCCACCCAGGCACCCATCCAGACACCCATTTAGACACACACCCAGACACCCACCCAGGCATCCATCCAGGCACCCACACATGTACCCATCCAGGCACCCATCCAGGCATCCTTCAAGGCACCCACCCAGGCACCAATCCAGGCACCCACCCAGACACCCACCAAGGCATACACCCACGCACTTACCCAGGCACCCATCCAGGCTATGTACCCATCCAGGCACCCATCTAGGCACCCATCCAGGCACCCATCCAGGCATCCAGGCTATGTACCCATTATTCATCCAGGCACCCATCCAGACACCCATCCAGGCATCCACCCAGGCACCCATCTAGGCATCCAGGCTATGTACCCATCATTCATCCAGGCACCCATCCAGGCACCCATCCAGACACCCATCCAGACACCCACCAAGTCACCCACCCAGGCACCCATCCAGGCTATGAACCAACCACCCATCCAGGCACCCATCAAGGCACCCACCCAGGCACCCACCCAGACACCCACCCATACACCCATTTAGACACACCCAGACACCCACCCAGGCATCCATCCAGGCACCCACACATGCGCTCATCCAGGCACCCAACCAGGCACCCATCCAGGCTATGAACCCACCACCCATCCAGGCACCTGTCAAGGCACCCACCCAGGCACCAATCCAGGCACCCACCCAGACACCCACCAAGGCATACACCCACGCATTTACCCAGGCACCCATCCAGGCTATGTACCCACCACCCATCCAGGCACCCATCCAGGCACCCACCCAAGCACCCAACAAGTCACCTACCCAGGCACCCATCCAGGCACCCATCCAGGCATCCAGGCTATTTACCCACCACCCATCTAGTCACCCATCCAGACACCCAACCATGCACCCACCAAGTAACCCACCCAGGCACCCATCTAGGCACCCATCCAGGCACCCACCCAGGCACCCATCCAGGCATCCACCAAGGAATACACCCACGCATTTACCCAGGCACCCATCCAGGCTATGTACCCCCCACCCATCCAGGCACCCATCCAGGCACCCACCAAGGCACCCATCCAGGCATCCAGGCTTTGTACCCACCACCCATCCTGGCACCCACCAAGGAACCCATCCAGGCACCCATCTAGGCACCCAACCAGGCACCCACCCAGGCACCCATCCAGGCATCCACCCAGGGAAGAAAGGCTACCAAGTTTGTGCAGATGAATGACATTGACTAATTTTCAATGTTGCTAGGGTCAAATTTGTCAATATCTTTGTCAAAAACAACTCCTCTGAATAACCTATAGACCCAGGGTCATCATATTTGACCAGGAGCATGCTTGCATGTAGGGCTACAAAATTTCTTCAGTTGAATGACATTGACCTTCTTTCAAAGTCACTGGTGCCAATTGTGTAAATAACATCTAAACGACTTCTTCTCCATACCCAAAAAGCCCAGTGGGCTGACATTTTGCAAGTATCATGCTAGGAAGAAGAAATATCAAAGGTGTTTAAATGAAAAACCTTGACTCACTTTCATGGTCACTTGGGTCAAATGTTTTAAAAGTATTCAAACCACTTCTTATCAATAGCCAAAATGCACATGGTGAAGATTTTTGATCAAAAGAATGCTGAGGTGAAGAGCTACCAAGTTTGTTCAAAGGAATGACCTTTTCCCTCTTTTTAGGTCATAGGGGTCAAATATGATAAAATCTTTTCAACAACTTCTTCTGAATATTCCAAAAGATCAGGGATGTTAATATCTTTACAGTAGCATGCTGGTATAAAGAGAAATGAAATTGTTTGAATTAATGACCTTGACCTACTTTCAGGGTCACTGGTGTCTTGCGTGTTTAAACATTTAAATGACCTCTTTTCAATAACCAAAAGGCCCATGTTGCTGATGTTAAGCTAGTTGCATGCTTAGATGAAGTGCTGTTAGGTTTGTTCAACTGAATGACCTTTGTTAGACTTTCAAGGTCACATGTGCCAATTTGCCAATTTTTTAGCTTACCTGCCCAAAGGGCAAGTGAGCTTATGCAATGGCACAGCGTCCGTCATTTGTTTGTCAAATTTTACTTTAAAATGCTACTAGTCCTGAACGACGTAGTGAATTTAACTAAATTTTGTCTGGGGCATCCTTGGGCCAAGGGCACTGAATTTGTATAAACAATGGGTGTGGCCCCCCTGGGGGCAGAGAAGTGGGGCCAAAAGGGGAAATAGAGGTAAAACATTTAAAATCCTTCTTCTACCAGAGGTATTCATGGCTTTTTAGGTCACCTGATCAGCTTTGCTCAAGTAACTTGAGCTTTCCGTCCGTCGTCGTCGGTAAACTTTTTAGGTCACCTGAGCTTTGCTCAAGTGACCTATTCCAATCGCTTTTCGTCCGTCGTCGTGCGTCGTGCGTCGTGCGTAAACTTTTACATTTTCAACTTCTTCTCAAGATTCAGTGGATGGATTTTTTTCAAACTTGGTCAGAATCATCCTTGGTAGATGAGGCTTCAAAATTGTAAAATTGGGATTCCTACCCCAACCCCTGGGGCCAGGGCGGGGCCCCAAAGGGAAAATTATCCAATATTTCAAAAATCTTCTTCTCCAGACTCAGAGGTACTACCGTAATTTTCTCTACTTGGAGAGAAAGATCATCAGGGGCTTTACTTAAATTGTAAATTTCAGGACCCCCGAGCTATCCGTTCTCCCTTGGGGAGGGGGTAAAGTTTACTATAGTTTATATAGGGAAATAACACTTTTGGGTATATTTTGACAACTTTCTGTAGGAAATTATTTTTACTTGGTGAGAATTATCCTTGGAGGTAGATGGTTTCAAATTGTAAAATTGAGATTCCTACCCCGACCCCTGGGGCCAGGGCGGGGCCCCAAAGGGAAAATTAATCAATATTTCAAAAATCTTCTTCTCCAGACTCAGAGGTACTACAGTGATTTTCTTTACGTGGAAAGAAAGATCATCAGGGGCTTTATTTAAATTGAAAATATCAGGACCCCGAGCTATCCGTTCTCCCTTGGGGAGGGGTTAACGTTTAATATAGTTTATATAGGGAAATAACACTTTTCGGTATATATTTTATCCATTTTCAGCAGAAAATTGCTCAAACTTAGTCAGAATCATCTTGGGTAAATGAGAGTTTTACTTTGTAAAATTAGGATTCCTGCCCCATCCCCAGGGGCTAGGGCGGGGCCCCAAAGGGAACATTTACCAATATTTTCAAATTCTTATCCATTGATGACATGACAAGTATTGTATTTCACTTAGTTTACATGCTGATTTTCACATCACATCTAAACAATAAAATAAAGCTACCAGTACCTATGATATAACTCAGGTGACCACTAAGGCCCTTGGGCCTCTTGTTACATTTTCAACTTCTTCTCAAGAACCAGTGGATGGATTATTTTTAAACTTGGTCAGAATCATCCTTGGTAGATGAGGCTACCAAATTGTAAAATTGGGATTCCTACCCCAATCCCTGGGGCCAGGGCGGGGCCCCAAAGGGAAAATTAACCAATATTTCAAAAATCTTCTTCTCCAGACTCAGAGGTACTACAGTGATTTTCTCTGATCATCAGGGGCTTTATTTAAATTGTAAATTTCAGGACCCCCGAGCTATCCATTCTCCCTTGGGGAGGGGGTAAAGTTTACTATAGTATATATTTGGAAATGACACTTTTGGGTGTATTTTGACAACTTTCTGTAGGAAATTATTTTTACT